AAATATGATTAAAATAACCGATGTTTTAAAAGCAATTGAAGGCAATGACCAACAGCTGTTTCTTTAGTTTGATTTTTAAAGACTTAATATATTCATAGTTATGAATAGCAACAGGAAGGGAGTTGTACCAACACAAACAGAATAGTTCAACGCTTTTCCTCCCAGAGATTCAGGGTGTGTGTCTACTCAAACAAGTAAAGAAGGTAGAATTTAGCTTCGTAAAACTGTACAAAACTGAGATACTCGGATATTGTTTTGCCTCAGTGAGAGGACCCAAGAAATTAGTTATATTAAAAGACCTATCTAGTAGGGAATTACTTCGCCCAAATTGGCCTTCAAGGCAAAATTTTAATCCCTCCTGAGAGCTGGTAGAGGTTTGTTATGAACTTCCTCTAAGATCCTAAAAATGTACACTTTTTGTTATAATTTCTAATATTGTATAATTTGATGGAGGGACATGAGGCTCCCCCCGCCATTTATCACATAACTTTAAGCATACTAACATAATCTGGACTCTGACTAAAGTATAAAAGAAAGCATCTTAAATTATATTCACCTGATAAGGGTCAGGCAATCCCACATGCTAAGCAGGTCATTAGATTAAAGATTTAGTGACCAGCAGAAACTGAGAGGCTAGAAAGCTATAGATGTACGGGCCACAGAAGGAAAACAAGCAATGAGAAAGTCTCCCGTAGACGATGCCACACACACATAGTCTGGTAGTTATACATACCCCTAGATGCAATATTTAAATGTGTACAAGTACCCACAGAGATACCTAACATCTTTACTAATAACTAATAATCTTTATATGTGTATAAAAATATACATTTGCATATATACACATACTCATGTATATAAAATTATATTCTGGGGATAGTTCTTAACTTTGTCTCCCTAGGTTATCCTCACTTTAAAGCTTTTTTCCCTGTTAACACCACACACATTTTTCATGAAACACCTTCCAGTTTAGCTTGGAATTTATGACTTGAAGGATACATGAAATTATGTTCTTTATAATATGAAGGAAATCAGGTTAAAGTAAAATAAATTTCATGTGAGAACGCTGCTTCTGGCTAGTATTCTTTCCCTGGACTTCAAGCCCTTTATTTATGGCTAAGTTTTCCATCACTGAGAAGTGTAACTGTCTTAAGCTTTTTAGCCAAAAAAAAAAAAAAAAAAAAAATAGCAGCATGATGAACCCCAGAAGAGTTCCTTAGCTGGATGCATCCTAGACAAAAGCTGTTTGCTGCTTACTGTGCAACATTCATGCACTGTTGACTGAAACAGCTGGAAGTACTTTGCAGACTAACAGTGGAAATGGCCTCCAGAACCAACCTTTGAGTGAGACAAATGAACCTTGTTTCTTTTGGGAAATAACATACAGCTATAAGGAGAAAGTCTCTCTGGGGAAAAAAAAAAAAAAAAAGTGTTTTGGGAGCAACTGCCCAAAGGCTTGAGTTGTCTATTTGTATGCATTTCATCTGGAATAAACAAAAGCTTTTAGGTCTTCAAATTTCTATTTCTTGTTGGTTTATTTTTCACCTTTAAAATGCAAAATCTCAGTTCTAGCTGGAGAAGAGACCATTTCTCAATCAGCTGAGGCATCCCAGACACCAGACCTTCGGGTCAATTGACAGGACGCTGGGGTAGAGATTTTCAATGAGGGACTTTCTATAAAATTTATCTCCTCTCCATTCCTCTGCTGTCAGAGATTCAAGGCTACATGCAGACAGATGCATAGTGGCAGTACATTCGCTCGCTGTAAGAATATAAAATTCACTTTGATACCAAGTCCAAAGCGCCCTTTTCCTGTTTCAAACACAGCTACAGAAGGCAGCTCATCGTGAAGCAAAATAATCAGACTAGTTAAGATGAACA